TTTCAATGACAGCGAAATTGTTGATAAGCAGTTCCGAGTTTTCCAAAAAAGGTGGAAACCATTCGGAGCTCTAAATTTGCTTTTGATCTCTCGGACTTTTTTCCGAAACTTCGAATCGCTGTATCTCAGCTCCTAGAAGGCCTAGAAAGTTGGTTTTTTGACAGAAATGTGTGAAATTTAGAGAAAAAGAAATTCAAGATCCGTATATTCAATTTTTTCAACTATTTTTCTCTATTTATCGAAAAAAAATGATTCGAGAAAACTGAAACGAAGCAAAGCGAAGAACTGTTCGCATTATCAGTTTCTATTGAAAATTTCAGCACAAATTTTTTGTTTGCTTTCTTTTTTCTTCCCACCTCACAATAGACCAAAAAAAATCATGACCTGATCATAAGAGCTAGGCTACAAAACGTTTTGGCTACGATTTAGAAAAAAAAACCGCCAACGACGTCTTCATCTTTTAGAGCCGAAGGAGCAAAAAAAACGACTTCTTCGCGTATTCAGAAGAAAGAGGAAGAAAAATTGTGGGGCAGAAGGCTAGAGAGAGAGGGAAAAAATGAAGAGATGAGAGGAACGGAAAATGCGCGAAAACACGAGACGACTGCTCCTAAAGCTGTGCTCCTTTGGCTCCTTGGAGCCCCCCGAGAGCCGGATATAGACCATTTCTTTCAGAGATTTTTTTCGGGAGAAAAACGGCCAATGTTTTCTGAACCGAATAAAAAAATAACCCGGTTTTCTACCTCATTTCATACGGAACCGCCCATCACCATCACATTTTCCGGTTATCAGCTGTGTTGTAGTACCAAAAATCAGCTACACGGTGTAGCGTCAGGGGCTGAAAAGGGGGAGGGTGACGAATAGTAAAAGATGGGTACAGGAGCGAAATGCCTTGTTTTTTTAAAGGAAAAAAATTAATTGAAAAAAAAATTGCCTAGAAAAAGTTTATCGATTTTTTCGTTCGCAGAACTTGTTATAGAACCGATTTTTGGGGATTTTTTTTGAGTTTTTGGAGGATTTGAGGAGAAAGAAAATACAAGTTTTGGAGAGAACGTGGGGGCAGTAAGCACAAAACACACACCTATACAACACATACTACTACGGGAAATGGGCAAAAAAAGAGAAAATTATAAAAAATTTATTGAAATTTGGAGATATGATGACGAGAGGACATTCAATTTCCCTTGAGCACTTGTTGTCTGAACTCGCCGACACATTTCTCGAATGCCTGGAAAAAAAATTCTTGGAATTTCAAAATTTTCGGTTTTCCTGTGATTTTCATTTTCTTTAATTTTTCAATTATTTCAAATTTTTGGATTTCCTGGAATTTTCAATTTTTTGAAAATTCCAGTTTTTCTGAATTTTTGGACTTTTTGGAATTCAAAACATTCTAAATTCATAGGGATTTTGAAATTGTTGATTTTCCTGTAATTTCAAACTTTTTGAATTTTCTGAAATTTCCATTTTTTGGATTCCCTGGAATTTCTCATTTTTGGAATTTTCTGGAAGTTTTAATTTTCTGATTTTTATCGAAATACCAATTTTTAGATTGCTTAGAATTTCCAATTTTTTGCATTTTCTGGAATTTTCAATTTTCGGATTTTCTGGAATTTCCAACTTTTCGAATATCTCAATTATTCAAATTTCTTGATTTTTCTGGAATTTTCAATTTTTCAGATTTTTTCAAATTTCTAATTTTTCGGATTTCCTAATTTTTCCGAATTTCCGAATTTCGATGTATTTCCAATTTTTCGAACTTTCTGGAATTTATGATTTTTCGGATTTTTAGATTTTTCAACTTTTTTTATTGAAAAAATCGTAAATTTTGAAAAATTCGAAAAAATCAGAAATCAAAATTACGTTTTTCCAGATTTTTCGAGTTATTCCTATTCGAAAAAAACTTCGAAAAACTTCGAAATTCTCGGAATTAAAGGCTTTTTTCCGCAATTTTGTCATTCTTATGCGAATCTACATAATTTTCTGCACAAAATGAAGCGGAACCAACCTCAGTAAGTGGTGCACACTTCAGTACACGTCCTGGATTCTCCTGAAGACATCTGACAATTTCCTGAAAAAAAACGCAGAATTTTATCATCAAAATTTTCTAGATCAACTCACGGTTTCATTATCCTGACACACATTCTCACGGTGATAGGCGAAGAATTGCTTCTGCACACGCTCAACGGTCTCATCGAAAATCTCTTTCTATCCTCCAAATCGTCTCCGGAAATTACGACTTGGGGTGCTGGGATTCCGGCGGACTGAAAATATATTTATAGATTTTTTTGGCGTTTCAACAATACCTTTCTCTGTTGCAACTGACTCAATTTCGCCATATCCTCTCTTAATCTGGCTTTTTCCTCCCGTTCGCGAGCCAATTCTTGTCTCAAACGATCGCTTTCTCCGTCATTTCCAGCTACTCTGGTTGCATTGACACGCTTCACGACGTCTGATGAGACACCAACGGTTCTGAATTTAAAAAAATTATGAAAATAATTTTTTGAAAAAAATTTACTTGTACTCTTCGGGAATCTCATTTCGGTCGATTCGAATGACTTCGGGGCGCGCTTCTTGTTCCGTGCTCTGTGCGGCTCCCATCTGAAAATCTATATTGCTAAAAAGTACAAAAAATCGGCTTGTTTATGCGTTTTGTTGTGTTGAAAATAGCTCGCGTAAAATAAAACGCTGGCGCGTTTCTCGACGTCGGCTTGCGCGCCAGTAACCATCTTGACGCATTTTGCGAAATTCTGCCAAAAAGTTGATTTTTGCTCTTTAGTAACTGGCTTTTCCGGTCCAAATCTACTAAAAAGGATCTAGAGAAGCCACTTTAGGGTATAAAAACTATAAAAACTCGTCCGAAAATCACAGATTTCATCGAAAAAATCTCACATCTCCTAGTAAAAGCTTCCTAGAAATTGTTCTTTTGGTGTCAGATATATGAAATGATGACAAAACACAAAAAATCACACGTATTTCATATATGTCATCATGCTCTCTTTTCTCTATTTAAACGGATTTTGACATGCTCCTTTCGCTTCGTTCCTCTGCTTTTCACCACTTCAAAATTGCTTTGAAAATTCAATTTTTTTCAAGAATGGCTCAAAAAGATGGCCGAGTTCTGCTGTTGAATGCTCCAAGACTACCGTTACCAGAAGACAAGGTGAAAGAGCTGGCAGGCGATCTTCATGATTATGCTCATGTAAGATTTTTTGGTCTTTTAGAAAATTAGAAATTTTGAGTCGAATTTTTGTTTTTGTTCAGGCACACGGCCTCGTCATGCGTTTGAGCACTGACAAGATGAGCAGTGAAGTTTGCCAGACGACACCACTCACTCTTCTGCCATCTCCCTTCCCGAAGAATGTTTTCGATGAGGCTGTACGCATCCAAAACCTCTACGCATCTCTTTACCATTATATCGCCTACGATTTTGATTTTCTCATCGATATTCATAAGAATGTAGTGAAAACCGACGAATTCACACGGAAAATGATAGAGATTTTGAAAAAAGTGAAAGAGCAAGGATTGAAGCAACCAGTGACTCTTGCAATCCAACGATCCGATTATATGTGTCATAAGGATCAATCCTCCGCTGAATATGACCTAAAACAAATCGAAATCAATAATATCGCTTCATCAATGGGTGCGCATGCCGAGCGGCTAACACAATGGCATATCAGAGTGTTAAAAGCTCTAGACGTTCCTGATGACGTCATTCGGAGAGCGATTCCAGAGAACAAACCAATTCCAATGATCGCTGAGGCACTTTTCAAAGCCTGGTCTCACTTTAATAACCCTGATGCCTGGGTGCTTGTCGTCGTTGAAAATGTGAATCAGAATCAAATCGATCAACGCCACGTGGAATATGAGCTTGAGAAGTTGGGAGTGCCGATGACACGAATAATAAGAAGAACGTTGACACAGTGCTATGAGCAGTTATCGCTAAACGAGAGCAGCGAACTGCTAATTGATGGGAAGCCAGTGGCAATTGTGTACTTTAGAGCTGGATACTCTCCAGATCACTATCAATCTGATAAAGAATGGGAAGCTCGTGAACGCATGGAACTATCCACTGCTCTCAAGACTCCATGGATCGGACTCCAGGTCGCCAACACCAAGAAAACACAACAAGTACTTTCGGAAGACGGAGTTCTTGAGCGATTCATCGGAAAGCCACGTGAAGCACGCGATATTCGCAGGTCTTTCGCCGGAATGTGGGCGCTGGAGAATTCGGATGAGGTCACTTTGAAAGTTGTTCAGGTGGGTGGAGCTTGTAGAGCAGAAAATTTCCTGAGAATCTGTCAAAAAATCTACTTTCTAGGCCTTCTAGGAGCCGTGATATAGTCATTTGAAGTTTGGGAGGTTAGAGACGCAGTGTGTCTCGTTGTCTGCGTCTCTAGCTTGCGAAACGTTGAACGGGTGTATCTCGGCTTGTAGATGAGCTAGAAAGTTGATAGTTTGGCAGAAATAGAGAAAATTCGGCTGTTTCAAAATGTTTCAAAAAATTCAAATTTCAAAAATAAGACGAATTTCAAAAAATCTAAAATCCTAATCTTGAATTATTCTTCTATGAATTTCACACGTTTCTGTCCAGTTTTCAACTTTCTAGGCCTTCTAGGAGGCGGGATACAGTCATCTGAAGTTTGGGAGGTTAGAGACGCAGTGTGTCTCGTTGTATGTGTCTCTAGTTTGCGAAACTTTGAACGGGTGTATCTCACCTTTAAGATGAGCTAGAAAGTTAATTTGTGGACAGATTTGAAGGAAATTGTTAGCTTTATATTCTCCAGAAAGATACTTTTATCTAAAAGTCTCCTATTTCATAATCGATGAAAAATTCCAGGGCGCTCAAAAGCATCCGGAAGCCTTCGTGCTCAAGCCACAAACCGAAGGAGGAGCCGCTCTGCACACAGGAGACGAAATGGTCCAAATGTTGAAAGAGCTTCCAGAAGAAGAGCGTGGTGCCTACATTCTGATGGAGAAGTTGAGACCAATGATTATTGAGGTATCAGGATTTTAAAAAATTTTCATTAAAACCCAAATTTATTATTATTTTCAGAACTACTTGGTTTTCGCTCGAAAACCAGTGACATTCGCTAAAGCGGTCAGTGAGCTTGGAATCTATGGATACGCATTTGGAGCCAAGGACGCGCCGGAGCTCAAAACCGCTGGACACTTGCTCCGATCCAAACCAGAATCCACTGCTATGGGAGGTGTTGCTGCTGGCTACGCTGTTGTTGACACTCCATTCCTCTATGAATTCATCTGATTCAGTTTTTTGTGATTTCTGATTTCTTTCATATTTTAATCATACTGTGATATTTATTAGACAAAATTTCCCTATGTGCCGTTATATTTTTAGATGATTGTGATGATAGTGTAATAGCGATAATTTATTGAATGTAATAATAAATGATGAAATGCTTCGAAGAATTTAAGAGTGTCAGAGTTCGGGAATCCCTAGTTCGGAAATTGGAAATTTAATTTTCTGTAATTTTTGTATTTCTGAGTTACAGTTTTTGACCTAAACAAATTTTCAAACTTTCGAGTTTTCGAATTTCAGGGTTTGAAGATTTTTGAAATTCCGATTCTCGATTTTCTGAAAATCTGATTTTGAAATTTCAAAATATTCAGTTTCAGAATTTTCGAATTTAAAATGTTCAGGGGTTTTTTTCTGAATTTTTTTCCTATAGTTTATTCTAACTAGGGAACTATCTGAGCATGATTACGAGTTGCAATTCATGACCTATATCAGTAGAAAGCTCATGAAAGTCTGATTCGGAATGTGTTTTTTGTTTTTTCGAAACGGCCGTGAGCTTCGAGAAAATTAGGTCAAAAGATAATTTTCAGTTGATTTCTAGGCTGTGTTTGGCTTCTTAAATTTGAAATAAATAAATCCCGTGTCTCGCGTCGATTTTCAATGCAAAGTGCAGCCTAGAAATCAACTGAAAATTATCTTTTGACCTAATTTTCTCGAAGCTCACGACCGTTTCGAAAAAACAAAAAACACATTCCGAATCAGACTTTCATGAGCTTTCTAATGATATACAGTGGCGAGAAGTGGTGAGGAGACTCAATGATTAAGATCTCTTGTAATCTTCCTTATATATAAAACGCTACACGCGTCTGTCTGTCCCGGTATCAGGCTGTCTACTTTTGAAAAGCTTGAAAAATAAATATAGATTTACGGGACCCTTAAAAAAAGGAGGAGCTGAGCGACAAACCAGTAAAAAACTAGATTAAATCGCGCCGAAAGCGCACCAACTTGCTGGTGAATTCGTAATTTCAGTTTCACTCATTTTATGTCTTTCTCTTGAAAACATTGTCATTTTGATATTGCTATGATTAAGTTCTTACAAATCTTCATTTATGTTCGTTTTCAAGTAAAAGTTCTAATTCAATTCAAAAATTCTACGAGTAATCTGTGTGATGACATCGTCATCCAACTTCTCCAAATCCCAGTTTTGCGCCTTCAAATCAGCCAGAGATTTCGCAGCGGCCACTTTTCTGGGCTGAAAAATAATCTGATAATAAGGAATACATTTTCCTAAATTACCACAACATCCCAAAATGACAATTCCTCAGCCAAATCGACTATTTGATTAGTTGTCATTCCACTGACACCAACAATCATTTGTTCCTTACAATATTCTGTGATACGTGGCACTTTGAGATGGTTGGCAAGCTTCAGGAAGGCCTCAATGTTTGTCTCTGGAATTTTAAAGTTTTAAAAAGTTGGATAATCTCTGTTTACCATTCAATTTGAGATCAACGCCATGAATGACTTGAAAGAAGTCGTGCATGTCTTCGAAACTAACTCCTGATGGTATATCTGAATAAGCAATGTTGTTAGTTTCAACGAGTTCAGCAAGAGTTGGAGATTGCAGAGAGATGAGCTGTAAAAGAATTTGTAGGGATTTCAGTTTCCGTTTCCGTTTTTCGCTCGGTTTTCCGAGATTTTTTTCCGTTTCCGTTTTCCGGAAAAACCTCCATTTTTTACAGCGGAAACGGGAAAAAAAGTAAAAAACGACGAAACATTTTAATTAAACTGGAACTGGCTTGAAAAAAAGCATGGAAAGTGATGAAAATATGGTCTTTAAACGTTGAAAAGTGTATATTTTTATGTTCGAAGGGAAAAAATCCTGAAAAATTGACGAAAAATAGATGTTTCTGTTTCCAATTCCGTTTTAGTTTTCCGTTTTCCGTTTTCGGTAAAAAAATTTTAGTCGTTTTTTTGTTTCCATTTTCCGCGGGAAAAATTTCCTTTTCCGTTTCCGTTTTCCGCAAATTTTCCGAATAAAATTGAATCTTTCATGTTCGCAGCTCACCTTCTTATTCAAGTACATGGTATGCCCCCAAACATTGACTTCAGAATCAAAGAGCGATTCATCGAATTTAAAAATCCAACATTCTGACAGAATCACACAAATTGATGGATTTTACAACCATGTTGAAATGAATTTTGAACGTTTTCTCATCCTTCTTATCATCAAAAAATCCCTGATTCCGATCGGTTATCTTATCGTATCCAGGAATTTCGATCACTAGTTCTCTTTTGGTTGCCGAAAATTCGTAGCTTCCTTGGGCCTAGAACGCAATTTTTCTTCTTTTTTTATATTTTTTTAAAGTTGTGAAACCGGTTTGATATACAGTGGCGAACATTAGTGAGTGTCACTCTATACTTTTGTTCATAACTTTGCTCAAACTTGCCCAATAATCAAAAACTTTTTTGTTAAATGCAGCTGAATTTCCAACAAAACTTTATATAAATTTTTTGGAACTCAATCAATTTTCGTTTCTTCTGAATCTTCACAGACGTGACGATGACTCCAGAAGAAAAAAAAATTTCCGCCAAAATTTTTTAAAAGATGTAGATCAAAAATGTAGATCAAATATATCCAAAAAAAAGTTTGAGACATGGTTCACGAGTTTGACTATAACTCGGCTGAAAATGATCCAACTTAGCTCAAGTTCTGAGAGAATGTCTGTCTTTAATTGCTCTACAATATACATACAAAACTTTGTATTTTGGAAAAACATTTTGTTTACAATTTTTTCATTTTTATGTACCGAAAACGGTATATTTTTACGTACCGAAAACGGGTAAAACAAAAAAGCAAAAAAGATTTTTCCCAAAATGTACGTATAGTCTGGAACAATTAAAGACACACATTTTAATAAATTTGAGCAAACTTGGATCATTTTTAGCCGAGTTATAGCCAAACTCCAGAACCATACCTTTTATGCTCCAGTGAGCACATCTCAAGAGCAAGTGTTCCAAACCGCTTCAAACATTTTTTCGGATTTTTCTTCTGAAGTCATCGTCACGTCTGTGAAAATTCGGAAGAAACGAAAATTGATTGAGTTTTTAAAAAACTTATATAACGTTTTGTTGGAAATTCAGCTAAATTTAACAATAAAGTGTTTGATTATTGGACAAGTTTGAGCAAAGTTATGAACAAAAGTATAGAGTGACACTCACTAATGTTCGCCACTGTATGTAAATTTCGGGCCGGCCCGCTGTTACAGAAGCTGATTTTTTTGAAATTTTTTAAATTTTTTTCAAAAATTTTATCAAAAAAAGTATATATTTTGACTACTGTCTACTTTGATAACTTTTGAAAATTATGTAACTTTTTTTCTTTTTTAATTCAAAAAAAAATGTCCCAATTTTTCATTGGAAATTTTTTTCACTGAGATAGGACGGGACGGCGGGCCGGGT